AAATCTCGGGCGTGGGAGGAGTTTGGTGAGGCCATGGAGAAAGACTATCGATTGGCTCCAAAGAGGTTCTGGTATACTGTCCGGCGCCTCAGGAGAGGAAGGCAGCAACTCGCTCACATTGTTTACAGTGGGGATGGGGAGCTGCTGACGTCAACTGGGGCTATAGTCGGACGGTGGAAGGAATACTTTGAGGAGCTCCTCAATCCCACCTACGTGCATTCCGAGGAGGAACCAGAGCCGGGAGACCTGGGGATGGACTGTCCAATCTCGAAGCAGAAGTTGCTGAGGTAGTCAAATAACTATACAGCGGCGGAGCCCCGGGGGCGGATGAGATTCGTCCTGGGTATCTCAAGGCTATGGATGTTGTTGGGCTTTTGCGGTTGACACGTCTCTGCAACATTGCGTGGTCATCGGGGGCAGTTCCTGTGGAGTGGCAGACCGGGGTGGTGGTCCCCATCTTTAAGAAGAGTGACCTGAGGGTGTGTTCCAACTATAGGGGGATCACACTCCTCAGCCTCCCTGGAAAGGTCTACTCCAAGGTACTGGAGAGGAGGGTCCGATCGATAGATGAATCTCAGATTGAGGAGGAGCAATGTGGTTTTCGTCCTGGCCATGGAACTGTGGACCAGCTCTATACCCTTGCAAGGGTGATGGAGGGGGCATGGGAGTTTGCCCAACCAATCCACATGTGTTTTGTGGATTTGGAGAAGGTGGGGCCAGGCTTCACAATGAGCTCACCTGAAACTCTGGCTGAATAGGACCCACACCCACCCTCACACCTTAGCTCATAGAAGATCATCAGGGGGTCTTTTGTTCCCTCTTCGGTGGGAAACTCCCACTGGTTTTAAATCTGGGACTCTCCACCATTTGACCTTAGAAATGAAGAAGCCTCTCGGATGAGAGGTGAAACGTCTTCAAGCAACTCAAAGAAGTCCAGACACTTTTCTTTCAAAGCTCATTAGACTACAATGACCTGGATGACTGAGAACCTTCACAGACATTTGGAGAAGACTTATGACCGTGTCCCCAGGGACACCCTGTGGGGGACGCTCCAGGAGTATCGGGTGGGTGGCTTTCTGTTAAGGGCCATTCAGTCCCTTTACCAGAGGAGCGTGAGTTTGGTCCGCATAGCCGGTAGTAAGTTGGACCTGCTCCCAGTGAGGGTTGGACTTCGCCAGGGCTGCCCTTTGTCACCGGTTCTGTTCATTACCTTTATGGACAAAATTTCTAGGCGCAGCCGTGGTGTGGAGTGTGTCGAGTTTGGTGGCAGGAGAATCTCGTCTCTGCTTTTTGCAGATGTGGTCCTCCTAGCTTCATCCAGCTCTGACCTTCAGCGCTTGCTGGGTAGGTTCGCGGCCGAGTGTGAAGAGGCTGGGATGAGGATCAGCACCTCAAAATCTGAGACCATGGTTCTCGACCAGAAAAGGGTGGCTTGCCAACTCCGGGTCAGGGGAGAGATCCGACCTCAAGTGGAAGAGTTTACAGGTGCTGGCCAGTAAATTAGAATATCATCAAAAGGTTGAAAATATTTCAGTAATTCCATTCAAAACGTGAAACTTGTACATTATATTCATGCAATGCACACAGACCAATGTATTTCCAATGTTCATTACATTTAAATTTGATATTCATAAGTGACAACTAATGAAAACTCCAAATTTGGTATCTCAAAAAATTAGAATATTCTGAAAAGGCTGAATATAGAAGACACCTGCTGCCACTCTAATCAGCTGATTTACTCAAAACACCTGCAAAGGCCTTTAAAAGGTCCCTCAGTCTTGTTTTGAAGGCACCACAATCATGGGGAAGACTTCTGACTTAACAGCTGTCCAAAAGACAATCATTGACACCTTGCACAAGGAGGGCAAGACACAAAAGGTGATTGCTAAAGAAGCTGGCTGTTCGCAGAGCTCTGTGTCCAAGCACATTAACAGACAGGCGAAGGGACGGAAAAAATGTGGTAGAAAAAAGTGTACAAGCTCTAGGGATAACCGCACCCTGCAGAGAATTGTGACGACAAACCCATTCAAAAATGTGGGGGAGATCCACAAAGAGTGGACTGCAGCTGGAGTCAGCGCTTCAAGAACCACCACGAGGAGACTCATGAAAGACATGGGATTCAGGTGTCGCATTCCGTGTGTCAAGCCACTCTTGAACAAGAAACAGCGCAAGAAGCGTCTCGCCTGGGCCAAGGACAAAAAGGACTGGACTGATGCTGAGTGGTCCAAAGTTATGTTTTCTGATGAAAGCAAGTTCTGCATTTCCTTTGGAAATCAAGGACCCAGAGTCTGGAGGAAGAGCGGAGAAGCACAGAATCCACGTTGCATGAGGTCCAGTGTAAAGTTTCCACCGTCAGTGATGGTGTGGGGTGCCATGTCATCTGCCGGTGTTGGCCCACTCTGTTTCCTGAGGTCCAGGGTCAATGCAGCCGTCTACCAGGAAGTTTTAGAACACTTCATGCTTCCTGCTGCTGACCAACTTTATGGGGATGCAGACTTCACCTTTCAACAGGACTTGGCACCTGCACACAGTGCCAAAACCACCAGCACCTGGTTCAAGGACCATGGTATCCCTGTCCTTGATTGGCCAGCAAACTCGCCTGACCTTAACCCCATAGAAAATCTATGGGGTATTGTGAAGCGGAGGATGCAATACGCTAGACCCAACAATGCAGAGGAGCTGAAGACGACTATCAGAGCAACCTGGGCTCTCATAACACCTGAGCAGTGCCACAGACTGATCGAGTCCATGCCACGCCGCATTACTGCAGTTATTGAGGCAAAAGGAGCCCCGACTAAGTATTGAGTGCTATACATGCACATTCTTTTCATGTTCATTCTTTTCAGTTGGCCAACATTAGAGAAACAAACATTTTTTCATTGGCCTTTAGAATATTCTAATTTTCTGAGATACCAGATTTGATGTTTTCATTGGTTGTCACCTATAAATATCAAATTTAAATGTAATGAACATTGGAAATACATTGGTCTGTGTGCATTGCATGAATATAATGTACAAGTTTCACGTTTTGAATGGAATTACTGAAATATTTTCAACCTTTTGATGATATTCTAATTTACTGGCCAGCACCTGTAAGTATCTCGGGGTTTTGTTCACAAGTGAGGGTAGGAGGGATCGGGAGATCGACAGGCGGATTGGTTCAGCATCTGCAGTGATGCGGACGCTGAGACGATCTGTCGTGGTGAAGAGGGAGCTGAGCCAGAAAGCCAGACTCTCGATTTACCGGTCAATCTACGTCCCAATCCTCACCTATGGTCATGAGCTTTGGGTAATGACAGAAAGAACGAGATTGCGGATACAAGCGGCCGAAATGAGTTTCCTCCGTAGGGTGGCCGGGCTCAGCCTTAGAGATAGGGTGAGGAGCTCGGACATTCGGGAGGGACTCGGAGTAGAACCGCTGCTCCTCCGGATCGAAAGGAGTCAGTTGAGGTGGTTTGGGCATCTGGTCAGGATGCCTCCTGGACGCCTCCCTGGGGAGGTGTTTCAGGCATGTCCTGCCGACAGGAGGCCCCCGGGTCGACCCAGGACAAGTTGGAGAGGTTACATCTCCAATTTGGGCCGGGAACGCCTTGGGGTCCTGCCGAAGGAGCTGGTGGACATGGCCGGGGAGAGCACGGTCTGGAGCTCCCTAGTTGGGATGCTGCCCCCGCGACCCGGACCCAGATAAGCGGAGGAAGACGATGACGAAAAATTAAATGTAGGTCTATGTTTTATAACTACAGGATCCTGAGATACTCTATTTTTCCACAGAAAAACATATTTGTCCCGTCAACACAAGTATAAACTAAATCCAAATGAAATTCAAATTTCCCAACTTCCACCCAGCATTCAAATGCACCATGTACGCACAAATCAGTCAGGTGTGAAAAGAGTCTCAAAAAGATTTTTGTACTTGTAAATTAATCTGTGTGTAATGTAGTTTTGTCCGTGTGTACCAGGTGATTTGTGTGTGCGTATTCAATGATTTGTATAAGTAAAAAATGAAGTTACACACAAAAATGTAAACACAAGTTACAAATCAAGAGTTACACACACACAAATCTAGATACACACATAAATCTAGACACACACGCATAGATCTTTTGAGACGTTTTTCTCCCCATACTAAAACCCTTGAAAAAGAACTTTTTGCACAGCTTGGTGCATGTGCTGTCACTCAGTAACTCCGAGCTAGTTAATATGGTGATGTGGTGCAGTCTTACTTTCTGAACTAGAGACAACAAATGTCACAAGCATAAAACGGCGGTTGTCAATTCTGAAACAATAGCGAATGGGGACAAGCGATCTTCCTCTGACATTAAGCAGAGTGGATGTCTGCAGCTGAAAGGGACACAGTCTCATCTTGTGCCTCCACACTGCCTGGCTCACTTGGTGACACACCACAAAATGGACCATTAGCATTGCTGTCAAATCTCCCATTTAGGCTGGAAAACTCCTGTATCTTACCCCTTTTTCCTGCCCTCTTCCCACATTAACATTTTACTGGAGATTTCGTATTACGTTCATTCACGGGAGACTAAACTAATTAAGCTCTTCGGGTGAAAGAGAGAAAATGTCTTCAAGGGAATACAAAAATTCAGTTGAGGTTTCTTTGCATGACTGAAAACTTTCAGATGAAACTTGACAGATGTCAAAAAAAAAAAAACACACCAAAAACCAAACAAAAAACAATGAACTTCTTCTAATTTTGATTGTTTGCGATTTGCTTTATTTCTAAATGATTCAAAAGGTTCTGTTCCAGCAAGAAGGATTAATGGGTCTGAGAGTTTATTTTATACTTTTGAAGAAAGAATAAACACTCTGCCTGCTAAAGCAGCAAAACATCAGACTGCTTTAAGGAACTAAATTTTTGGAAAACAGCGAGTTTGACAGAGAAAGGGCAGTACGTTTGTAAAGCTGCACCCAGTTCAGGCACTGGATTTCTAGGTTATTAAATTTTAACACATCAGAGTGACATGATGTCTGTTTATGGCACTAACCTCAAAAGCCCGGTCAAGCTGATTCATCTCTCTTAGCTGGTTTCCTTTAGAGAAATACAGCTCTGCTCTCACTGTCAGGTCACTGGGGTTCTGCTGCAGGGCCAGGTCCAGAGCCTCCAGAGCCTGGCACCAGCACAAACAAACGTTACAAACACTCTGAGACACTGGAACCACAGAGGAACGAAAGAAAATCCACCTTTGTGTAGTTGCCATGTTTGCTGTAGATTGCAGACAGGAGGCGGTAACATTCAAGACAGCTGTTCTCTCTAGAAATGATGTCCAGAGTCACCTCCTCTGCCTCAGCTGCGCTGCCAGCCATGACTAGAACCTGGGCCTGGGGAGGAAGGTCTGACTATGAGACTGTGTTGGTGAGACAGATGTTCAGTCACGTGACCCGGCTCAAACAGCTTCAAAACATCTGGAGTTTTTTTCTTCACCTAAAACTCTACAGACTTCTGCAGGTCTACAATGGTGGTTCTGGTGGCCTTTCAACCCTGACTCTCAGCTTTAGTCTCATCTATGTAAAGTTTTGTTTCATGCACAGTTTGAGGGTTTTTTTACTTTAAACTCACCAAAGCCAACCAGATGTCGGTGCTGTCCGGTTGCAGAACAGCAGCCTCTTTGTATACCAGTAGGGCGTCCTCATAGCGACCAGTGTTATAATACAGAGCTCCGAGGGGAGCCAGGATGTCCACTTTTCTGGTCACTCGTAGGGCCCTGCAGGCAGAGGTCATAGGTCAATGTGTTTGTGACGAACACACGTGAAGAGTCACACAGGAGTCTGAGGCTTGCTCAGGGTAAGTCCAGAGGGTATTCTCCTCCCAACATCTGGACTATAAGATCCTCCCCCTGTGTTATACTTAAGGATCCACAGCTGGGAGATTTTTTTAAACAGGTTTCAGTTTTACATGGTTCTGACAGTTTCCAGAGTTTTCACAAGGCTGGGTTTTATTGAACACTTGTTTAACTCCATAACATGAAATCAAGGTTAATAATATAACTTAGATCACAATATCTTCAGTTTTACTAAAATTGGTTGAAGCAAAAATGAATACACCCCACAACAAAAACTACTACATCTAGTATTTTGCATGACCACTGTGATTTTAAAGAACAGCACCAAGTCTTCTTCTAGGCATGGAATAAACAAGTTGGCGACATATGGCAACATCTATCTTTTTCCATTCTTCAAGAATAACCTCTTTTAGAGCCTGGATGCCGGATGGAGTGATGCTCCACTTGCTGCTTCAGAATTCCCCACAGGTGTTCGACTGGGTTCAGATCAGGAGACAGACTTGGCCATTCAATCACCTTCTCCCTGTTCTTCTTCAGAAATGCAACAGTAGCTTTAGATGTGTGTTCTGGGTCATTGTCGTGTTGGAAAAGTGCACAGAGTGATGGCAGCATCTTCTCTTTCAGTACAGAGCAGTAAGCTGTTGAGTTCATGATACCATCAATGAAATGCAGCTCCCCAACACCAGCAGCACTCATGCAGCCCCATATAAGGACACCGCCACCACGTTTCACTGTAGGCACCATGCATTGCTCTTTGTTATCCCCACCTTTACAAAGCCATACAGTTTTGAAACCATCAGTTCCAAAAACAGTGATCTTTGTCTCATCACTCGGGAGTATAGAGTCCCAGTAGTTGTCATCTCTTTCAGCAAATCCTATGTGTGCTCTTTTGTGCATGGGCTTTAGGCGAGGCTTCCTTCGTGGACGATACCCACGCATGCCATTCCACAGCAGTGAGCACCGTATGGTGTCATGAAAAATGGTCACTCCAGTTTGGCTTTCAACTGCTTTAGCCAACTTTAGTGAACTTGCATGGCAATTTTCTTCAACCCTTTTCATCAGAAGATGCTCCCGCCGAGATGTTAACTTCCGTGGTTGGCCTGAACATCTGTAAGATGTTTGCACTTCCATCTTTCTTAAATTTTTGGATCACTTTTGCTACAGTATTTTGACTGATATGTAAATCTTTGCTGATCTTCTTGTAGCCCTCACCTTTTTTGTGTAAAGCAGTGGTACTCACTCCTTGTCCTGGAGAGTCTGTATCCAGCATGCTTTCCTTGTTTCTCTACTCCAACATACCTAAATCAATGGTTGAATCACCTGTTAAGTCTGTGAAGGTTCTCAGTCATCCAGGTCATTGTAGTCTGATGAGCTTTGAAAGAAAAGCGTCTGGACGCTTTTCTTTCAAAGCTCATTAAATCATCTGTTAAGCAGCTCATCAAGCTCTTCGGAAGCCTGATAATGACCTGCTGATTGAAATCAGGTGTGTTGAAGCAAAGTTAAAACTAAAACATGCTGGATACTGGCTCTCCAGGACCAGGAGTGAGTACCACTGATGTAAAGGAATGATTTCCTTTCTCAGATTTTGTGACATTTCCCTTCCATGTGGAGCCATTGCTGACAGCATGAAATGGAAAGAGCTCTTCTTTAAGTAATGCCTTAGTCACCTGTCTGCTGGACACCTCCTAAATGAACCGTAACCCCACCGGAGCCGTCAGCAGCACGTTACTGCAGCAGCACGTCTTGTTCGCGTAAGCTGCTGCTTGGCCCTTCCCACGAGACGCGAAGCAGCAGGGGAGCAGCTGTCACCGACAGAGCACGAAGTCACACGAGCGACTTCGTCAGTAAACACAACAACAAGCAGGAGAAAACTACAACATGGTTTGTGTTTTATGTTCTGTCCGTTTTAGAATCGCCAATACGGACATGAAAAACAAAGGAGACCGCTAGCTAGTTGATAACTTCTCACGGGGCTGCACAGTTAGTAACTTTTTTTAAAGTAAAGCAACCGGAAGGCAGTACGTTTCTTTATTCTGAAAATCTCGGGAGCTTCGCTCCATTTCCGCGTCCGATTTCCTGTCTTTCCTTCCCCAAAAATGTCGAACTTGACCTGTTTCAGAGGCGTCGCACGTAGAAAATAGAACCGGCGCGTAAGGGCCGCGACATTTTGCTCCTGAGACGCGGCCAACTCGCGCTGCTGACCGCTCCGGTGGAAAAGGTTCTGTTGACCACAGCGGTTCCTATCAGCAGCTATGACGTGCTGCTGCAGTAACGTGCTGCTGACGGCTTCGGTGGAAAGAAGGGGTTAGACCATCGACATAAATATACGGTTAGACTCACCTCAGGTTGAATGCCTGTTAATTTGAATTTTGTAGTCTTAAGTGTGGCTTTTCTCCTACGACTATAATTGGGGTGTACTCATTTTTGCAACATGGGCTTGAATGGATTTGTTAGGAAATTCACTTTTGGTGTGTGAAAATTAATAAATCTTGTTTGCAATCAATGGCCCTGTCATGTTCCTGGGCAGAGGTGAGTCACACCTTCTCCTCTCACCAGACTCTAAGCTAATTCTCCACAGGTGAGGAGCAGGGGGAGCGGCAGCTGCAGGAAATTTCCCAATCAGGGACGCGGGTTCAAAAGGAGGATGGAGACACACCACTTTGCCAGATGATTGCACCAGTTTAGGTAGCACCAGCCTCTCGACTCTGAACTTTGATCTTGTTAATTCGTGTTTTGACTCGCCTTCGACTAGTGGATTTATGACCTTGGATTGTATTTTGGATTTGGAATTGGATTATCCCTTACGCCTGTTTTTGTCTCGCTCAGGATCATCTCATCATCTACTCACCCTCGCTGTCTTTGTTTTCTGGAACATACTCATCACGTCCCATCCTCCTCCGCCGTTCCTGTTTGGCTTTCCCTCTGCTACCTTACCCCTCCTGGATCTCTCACCCTCTGCCCAGCGTCCTCCCGGGCTTCCCCTCCTCTCCTGATTAACCTGAGCACCTCAGAGACTCGAGCCGTATTGCTCATCCCACAGGACTTCCCTGTGCGGTTTCAGTTCCTGTTTTTATAATAAAGACATTTTACTTTACTGCTTTGGACTACGTGTGCTGATTCTGCATGTCTTGGGTTAGACACTTACCTCGAGCCATGACAGGCCCACATTTGTGGGAATATTTTGTAGTATGGTATCTCATAGAAGATGTTGATTCTGAAAGGAAACTAAAGGTTTTCTGACAAATGTAGTGGGGGTGTACTCATTCATGCTAAGCACTGTAACTCTAAGGCAGCAAGATAAAGCAGGTAACACAACACCCTTGTCAAAAAGTTTCTAACACACTGTAATTCTACAGTCTATCCATCATGGCTTGTGTCGTCATCATGGCAGCCGCTCTGACTCATCACGTGAATCAGCTGTTCTTAACTGTTTCTTTGCCTTGAAAATACTGAGACACCTCAGCACAACCTTGTAATGTTTCTGGAAGTATGCACCAAGTTTCAGGTTCTTCACAAAAGATGTTTATTGTGTGCCTTCTCCAGCTGTACATCATTCTCTCATCAGTGCTCACCTCTACCCTTAAATAGATTATCTAATACTGCCCCCTTGTGGGCAGAGCCACCATAGGTATCACTACATCCCCCCTGTCACACACAAAAAAAAACGTATTGTGTTGCTTCTTGTGTTGTATTGAGTTTTTTTTCTTCAGTTTATGCCCTACTAAAGATTCAATCTCTCCGGAGGCTTAATGATGCGCGTTGTCCTCCTGAGCCCACAGGATACAGGCTCAGATATGGCTCCCTCCGCTGACGGGACACTGTCTTGCACAGCCATCCCTGCTGACAAGCCGGGCTGCGCGTTCGGCCCAACAACAAGAGACGAACCATCGTCACAGTCCCGTCCCTGAAGAGTCTCCTGTGTCTGCTGTCCCTGAAGAGTCTCTTGTGTCTTCAACAAGTCCCGACAGTTGCGCCTCAATGTCTGGCCATCTTCAGTCCTGACCACATAGGATCTAGGACCAACTGTCCCCAAAACAGCAGCTCTCCTACTCCAGCGACCAGAATCCCCAACTCTCACTGTATCATTCTGGACCAGCGGCTCCAGTGATCTGGTTGACTTGTCATAGTTCCTCTTCTGTCTCAGCTGCAGAGACCTTCTTTGGAACCCCAGATCCTGGGGTACCCCATGGGCATCACGGAATGGGAGAGTGGTCCTCAATCTTCGTCCCATCAGAAGTTCAGCAGGGGACACACCATGTTCAAGGGGTGAGGCTCTATAATTCAATAGAGCCAAATGGGGGTCAGCATGGCTGTCTTTCGCCTTCCTAAGAAGATGTTTCACGATCTGGACCCCCTTCTCGGCCTTCCCATTCGACTGAGGAAACAGAGGGCTCGAGGTGATATGCAGGAAGTCATAAACCACAGCAAACTCATGAAACTCTTGGCAGCTGTAACACGGTCCATTGTCACTGTACATAACATGAGGGATCCCCTGTCGGGCAAAAATTGATTTCAAAGACGAAATTACAGTAACAGCAGAAATATTGGGGAGGACCACCACTTCCGGATAATTAGAATAATAGTCAATAACTAATAAGTAATGTCTTCCATCCAAATGAAACAAATCAGTTCCCACCTTGTGCCAAGGCTCTTCAGGTAGATCGGTGAGCACCATCGGCTCCTTGGTTTGTGTCATGTGATACTTCAGACAGGTCCCACATCCTGAAACCATTCTGTCAATATCAGTGTTGATTCCTGGCCAATAAACCGCTGACCTGGCTCGTCTTTTACACTTTTCCCTGCCCAGATGCCCCTCATGCAGCCTCTGCAGAATCTCAGGTCTCATAGACGTTGGAATTATTATCCTCTGTCCTCTGAGTAGAAGTCCATCAACGACACTCAGCTCTGCTCGGATGTTAAAG